GGGGGGGGGGGGAACGAAGAATGGGCATCCCCCTGAAGCCATCAATAAGTTCTAGCATTCCATCCCCATGTTTGAGTATTTGCCCACACAAACAAGCTTTTTAATGGCTTTTATATTTTCTGGAATTATACATATACGTATATTTATACACATATGTATATGTATTGATCGTAATGTTTTTACAAATGGCTATAGACATCACCGAGTTGACGGCCATAGGCGTTAAAGGAAAAGCAACCAACAGAGACGCCTAGAATACTTCCTTGTCTTTTGGTTGTTTTGCTTTCTAGGGTTAGCTTTTTTTTTTTTAATTGCCTCTCAACCTTCGTGAGGGTTGGCATTCACCCACACTTCACTTGCGTTTTAGACCTTTGGAAGGACTTTTCGCCGGAATCCGTACCGCTCAACGCGTCACCTTCCCTTTCCACACCGCGATCGGTTCCATACGCCCCCATCAGTAGGTTGCCAACTCCTCCACCTCTTCTTCTTCGTCGGCGGCGACTCCGCTGTATTCTTTGGTGCTGCCTTCCTCCTGGAGAAGGTCCTCGTACAAAAACGAGGTGACGACGGTGCGCCCGCCAAAAAGTTTACCAGCCATTTGCTGCTGGGCGTAGGCCGCCTCCTCGACCGTCTCGTACATCACAAAGACCCGGCCGATGCCGCCATACAAGGGATGGTTTTGCCGCGCGAGGTACCGGTCCACCTCGAGGTTAAAGAGCTTCTTATCCCTCTCGTAGGCCGCCAACGCCGCGGCCTCCGCCGCGGGGGACTCCATCTCCTCCTTCTTCGGGGCCTCCGGGGGCCGTGGGCGGGCCTCGCGGCGTGGGACGATGAGCTTCTCGACCCGCCCATAGGCCTCCACCTCCTCCTCGATATCCGCGAGGAGCTGGGAGTAGTTCCCATCCAGCACGAGCTCCTCCTCGTCGAAGAGGTTGAGCAGGCACAAGACCCGCGTGAGGTAGATCGGGACCTGCGTATTCCCGTAGAGCGAGCGGAGGTGGGGGTAGGTATGGCTGAGCTTCATAACCGCCTCGGGGAGGGACATCACCATCATAAGGAGGTTCGTCATGTGGTTAA